TTTTTTATGATTCCCTCATTGCTGGATGCTGTCTTTATGAGATGGCCAGAGTACACCTCTTCTCCTAATTCACTTGCCACTTCTAGCCTAGACAGTCACCCTTGTTAAAACGGTAGAGGAAGTACAGTTACAACTGACTTTCTGGGAAATGTGATACCCACAAGGTAAGATATAAAGATGGCAAATGGAGACAAAAGTCCTGGCCATATACTAGGGACTATGATATTTGCATATTACAGCAATCTGTAGTATGCCATCGACCCAGTGGTGAGTGTTGGGAAGCATCTGGGATTGCAGAGCTAGCACAAAGTGAAACCTCCTGGAACAAGGGGCTGAGCTGGGAACCTCCACTGACATGGTAGCAACACAAAACATAGCCATGACCCACGTGACAGGCGAAAGACAGACTCATGAGATTTGCCTATTGGTCACTACCCAGAGTGTATAGACCCAGCCTCATTTAGGAGCAAGAAAAGAGAAAAATATTAATTTGACATCATGAAAAAATGCTGAATGAAGTATCTAATATGAAATATCATAGAGACTTGTGGATTCAATGACAAATGTTGTGTCCCTAGAAAATGTATACAAAGATTATCATTGAATTCTCATGATAGAATCATCCCATGCATAGGCAAAACAAGGTCTGCCCTTCACAGTATTCTTTACAAATGCTGACACAAAGAGGGAACTACTCAACATCAAATCCAGTATTTAAAAAATTGATTTAGAGTATCCAAATATTAAAAAGTATTAAAGACTATTCTAGAACCATTAAATATCACTTAACATGTTGACAATACAATACTGTGAATGAATTGAAATTGTACCTAAGTGTCTACGTGATCCTTTTTTTTTTTTTTAGGTGATCAAGTGTATTTTTTTTATTATTTAAACCACTTTGAGTAAGCGGTTTCTGTTACTTGAAGCCAAAGGCATTCCAATTATACAGTGTTCTTTTTTTCAAGTTGGTAAATTTTTTTTTTTTTTTTTTTTGAGAGGGTGTCTCGCTCTGTCGCCCAGGCTGGAGTGCAGTGGCCGGATCTCAGCTCACTGCAAGCTCCGCCTCCCGGGTTCACGCCATTCTCCCGCCTCAGCCTCCCGAGTAGCTGGGACTACAGGCGTCCGCCACATCGCCCGGCTAGTTTTTTGTATTTTTTAGTAGAGACGGGGTTTCATCGTGTTAGCCAGGATGGTCTCGATCTCCTGACCTCGTGATCCACCCGTCTCGGCCTCCCAAAGTGCTGGGATTACAGGCTTGAGCCACCGCGCCCGGCCTCAAGTTGGTAAATTTTATGTTACATGTTTTATTTTATTTTATTTTTTATCTCCATAGGTTTTTTGGGAACAGATGGTATTTGGTTACATGAGTAACTTCTTGAGTGGTGATTTGTGAGATGATGGTGCACCCATCACCCGAGCAATATATACTGAACCTAATTTGTAATATTTGATCCCTCATCCTCTTCCCACCCTTTCCCCCTAGTCCCCAAAGGCCACTGTATCCTTCTTATGCCTTTGCATCCTCATAGCTCCCACTTAATGAATGAGAACATACGATGTTTACTTTTCCATTCCTGAGTTACTTCACTTAGAATAATAGACTCCAGTCCCATCCAGACTGCTACAAATGCCATTAATTCAATTCATTACTTTTTATGGCTGAATAGTATTCCACCCAGTAGTGGGATTGTGGGATCAGGATCAAATGGTAGTTCTACTTTTAGCTCTTTAAGGCATCTCCACACTGTTTTCCACAGTGGTTATACTAGTTAACATTCCCACCAGCAGCGTAGAAGTATGCTTGCTCTTTTTCATGGCATCCATACCAATGTCTATTTTTAAAATATTTTTGATAATGGCCATTCTTGTGGGAATAAGGTGGTATCACATTGTGGTTTTGATTTGCATTTCCCTGATCATTAGTGATGTGAATTTTTCATGTTTGTTGGCAATCTGTTATCTTCTTTTGAGAAGTGTCTATTCATGTCCTTAGCCCACTTTTTCATGGGATTGTTTGCTTTTTTCTTGCTAATTTCTTTAAGTTCTTTGTAGACTCTGGATATTAGTCCTCTGTTGGATGCATAGATTGTTAAGTTTTTTTTTAAGAATAGATGTTATTGTGTATATTTATGGTATACAACATGATGTTATGGGATACACATAGATAGTAATAAAAAGGCTACTATACTGAAGTAAATTAAAATATCCATCATCTCTCAGAGCTACTCATCATTTTTTCTTTTTGTGGCAAGAGTGAGCAGCTAAACTTACTCATTTAGCATGAATCCCAAATACAGTACAATTTTACTACCCATAATTATCATCTTGTACATTCCATCTCTAGACTTGTTCACCCTCCATAACTGCTAATTTGTACCCTCTGACCTTCTCATTTACTTCCTCCATCCACCATCCCCCTCATCACTGGTAACCACTGTTTGTTCTCTATCTCTGTACATTTGAATTTATTTTTAATATTCCATATATAAAAGACATCATGCAATATTTCTCTTTCTGTGTCTAGCTTAATTCACTTGGCATAATATCCAGGTTCATTCATGTTGTGGCAAATAGCAAAATCTCACTCTCTTTAGGGTTGAATGATATTTTAGCATATTAAACAGTGACACACACACACACACACACATCACAGTTTCTTCATCAATTTGTTGATGATGGACAAAGGTTGATTCTTACAGTATGTTTTATAACTCCAAGAATTTCCCTCAGTAATTATAATGCAGGTCAGACTCACACAATTCCACAGTAAGTTCATAAGTCTAGACTAATACAGAATAGCTCCATGGATTAAACTTTGGTACTTAAAATGTTTCAATCAATAATAATTAGAAAGATGTTAATTTTAAGAAATATACATTTTAATATTAAGTATACATGAAATTAGAATTTTTTTTAACTTTTGGTGGTTTATAAGATCTGTTGTTTGAGCTTCAAAGTTCTTGCAAATAACTACTTATGGATGAAAAAGATGATTAATTTTCAGCAAGAAATTATTCCCCAAAGTTTGTTTTTACTATCTACCTTTTAAAAGGAATAATGATAGAAGACGATGAACTTCTACATCAATATTACTTTAACATAGTAGTCGAAAATCTTAAAAAATATATCCCTCAAGGGAAGATATTGTTCCTAATTTATTAATGAGGGAAATAGAACTATTCCTAGTCCATATATATAAAAATTATTTCATCTCCAATCAAGCACTTCTAAAATGCTTTTTCCTCAATAAGCCATTTATTATTTTCATGTGTTTTTGATGTGAAAAATTTAGACAGATAAAAAACAAAAAGGAAAAGGGGAAAAGAATGCTGCAGTTGTTTAAGACTCATAAACAGTGACAGTAGAGCTTTTCTCAGCAATTGCCTGGCACCCTGCAAAAGACACACAGATCATCTGTCTTGATTTCCCTTTAGGAATTAGCAGTCTCTATTTAATGTCTGGTTTTCCAGTTAGAAGTTTCACACAGACACAAAAACAACAGGCTGCTAATCACAGTGTTATATAAATGTCTATATCAAAGTACTGAGGTAATTAACTTATCTGTTAGATTTCCCTATAGAATATTCTGGTTACTATAGAAGCATTTCTTTAATTTGTTTTAGTCATCAAGGACAATACAATTCTCACAGTTGTGTTTGTTATTTTATTACTTGACAACAAATTGTATTTGCTATTTTATTGCCTCTGAGTAAAAATACATAATTGATTACCTATAATGAATCCGTTGGAAATCGGCTACAGGAAAATGCAGGATTATTAAATTATTACAGAAATCTTTTTGGTTAATCAAGTTTGTACTCTTCATAGCTGACATTCCCTCATTCTCCTCTTTTTCCTCATCAGCAGAACCCAATTTTGACTGTTTTACTACCCTTCTCCTTTGAAATCTAAATGTCTTGGGCAAAGTTGACCCTACCCCTAACTTATGGGATGAAGTATGATTAATAGAAACCAATCAAAATACTCCTTGGTGTCTGTGGGGAACTGGTTCCAGGACATCCCTTGGACACCAAATCTTCAGATGTTCAAGTCTCCAATAAAAAATGGCATAGTATTTGTATATAACCCACACACATCTGTACATCCTAAACCACCTCTAGATTACTTATAACACCTAGTACAATGTAAATGTTATGTAAGTAGTTATTATACTGTATTGTCTTGGGAATCAAGGGGAAAAAAAAAGCCTGTACATGTTCAGTACAGACACATTTCTTTTCCTGAATATTTTTGATTCCTGGTTGGTTGAATCCATGGATGCTGAACCCATGGAAGTCTATTGTACTACCATCTTTTTGGCCAGAGATTGGTTCAGGATTATGCTAATCAAGATTTGGTGGGCTCTTCAGCTAAACTGACCTAATGAGTCCAGGGGAACTTCTGTTTCATTGTGATGGGAGAGATTCTCTGTGTTTCTTTCTCTGATCCTCTGTCTTTTTATCTCATGCAAGATAGGAACAAGAAAGTATGCTGCCCAAGTCACTGCTAGTGCACATCTTATGGAAGAAAACCAGTCTGAGGACAGAGTTGACATATCAGAAAGATCCTGACCCAGTGTGCCTGGCTCCCCTACCTCCCACCTTCTCCTATCTTGTTACAAGAAATGAACCATTTATTTATGATAAAAGCCAGTTTTATTTGGGGTTTCTGCAGCTTACAGCAGGAAATATCCCAACTCATTCATATGGCTTGTAATAACGAATCCAAGTTCTTTCTATGGACAAATTAATTTTTTTAAGTTTAATTTCCTTAAGTTCTTTCAGGAAAGGATAAACCATCTTAGGCCCTAAACACACCCCAGTCTGAGTTATTTGTTCTCACAGACCTTTGTTCTCCTACCTCAGCTGCTATGAGATTTCCTGGTGCTCCTAACTAAAATGTACTTTAATCAGAAGTCATCATTAGTCCTGACAGGTCAAGTTCCTTCAAGAACCCTCATATCCAGACTTGAAATTGACCCAAATGACATGACCTACCTTGGGCATGCAGATGACCAAATGACCTGTTGTCTGAGATCTTTTAGCAGAACTACTATCGGGTTTCACTTCTGCAGGAAGGACAAGCTGAAATGGCTGAAAATAAGTAGAAAGTATCATTGAGAGCAAGGACGTTACATGAGAGGGTGACTACAAGGGGCATTTTCATTACAAATTCAAGATACACCATTCAATTAAGAAATGTGCTTAAACTTATTAAAAATATTTATATGAGCTGTGCTTTCTGTGCACGAACCATTTTACCTATTTTTACAGTCAGTCTAAAGAACAGCTGTCAATCACAAACAGTGAAGTGCTCATGGGTTCATTTATGACTAAAAATCAATTTATAGAGAAAGCCTTGTCAAAAAAAAACCCAACATATTTCCATTTAAAAATCTTTCAGCTAATCTTCAAGCCCATAGTAGCCTAAATTAGCAAAAATTGGTATTTTAGAAATTATAAAATTATAGTTGTTATGAATGAAATCACTGACAATTTAGAATGGGTGTACTGTTTAATTTCATACATAGGCTCCCACACATATGATTATGTTATTAGTTTTGAAAAAAGTGTAACACAATAGACACACGTTTAAAATATTAATGATATCCAACTACATATGGTCAGCAGCCATTCCCACCACATACCACTCCCATATATAAAACCATGTGCTAAAAAATAGCACTCTGTTTGGTTCCCCTTTTTCTATTTAGTTTTGTTTTATTATTTTTATTTATTTATTTATTTATTTAGAGTCAGAATCTCACTCTAGTAGCCCAGACTGGAGTGCAATGGGGTGATCTTGACTCACTGCAACCTCCGCCTCCCTGGTTCAAGCAATTATCCTGCTTCAGTCTCCCGAGGAGCTGGGATTATGGGCATGAGCCACCATGCCTGGCTAATTTTGTAGTTTTAGTAGAGATGGGGTTTCACCACGTTGGCCAGACTGGTCTCCAGCTCCTGATCTCAGGTGATCCACCCGCCTCGGCCTCCCAAAGTGCTCGGATTACAGGCATGAGTCACTGAGCCTGGGCCCTTTTTCTATTTTAATAATACTTTTAAAAAAGTGAGGCACCACAGCTTAGTTCAAAGCTTAGCTTTTGAAATTGTAATAGTCTACAGGGTTCTACTTACCTTTCCCTTGATCATTACTCGCACGTAAGTTGGTTGCACATCAACATTGATTAAAGAGGTATCCATATACCTTCAAAATTAAACATACAGTATCTTATAATTTAAAAAATATATCAAGTTTGAAGAAGTGCAAATACATATTCACACTTACAGGACGATTTTAAATGAAGGACGTTTAAAATATCCATGCTAAATGGGTCTTTAAAAAATTAGTTTTAAATTAATCCCCAGACCAAAGGAAATTCAATGTATCAGCAATTTCATTTTTAGACCCACAAGTACACTTGGCATTGATTGCCCCTAACCCAAAAATATCTGAGGTCTGAAACACCAGAGGTTTGCAAAAAACAGCTTGCCATGCTCTTTCACAAATATTTTATTTTAAGCCCCTAAGACTTGAATAGCCAGGAATGCTGATTCTACTCTGCTTGAGGCCTGCAACCACCAGTTCCTGCTTCCTCCGCGGCTCTGGATCCCCTGCAGCTGTTCTGCAGCTGCCCTGATACTATCTCTCCTGGAAGACTAGCTTGCTTCTCCCCTCAAAGGCACATCCTGCTGAATAAGCAAACCCTTCTGTTTACGGCAGTGACCTCAAGATCAGGTGGCAATTATTCTCCTCCACTTATGAGCAAATTAAAGATTTAGATTTCATATTGCTCATTAAAATCAGAAGCTTAGCCAAATAATTACGTTCACATACTTCAAAATACTAATTGTGAACATTAGAAAATGCAGAGCTGCTTTAAAAATCACAAATGTTAAGGCAGGTAAGCTAATACAAGGGTTACAGGCCTAGGTTTGGAGTCACACAGGCTTGTGGGGAACTGGCTCCACCTCTTCCTGCTTTATTACCTGGGACCACATTCCTTAACCTCTCTAGGTCTCAGTTTCCTCTTCTGTAAAATGGGGATACTACTAGCATCTAGCCCTAAGATTGTTAGGAAGGAACATGTATAATGCCCAATACATAGCTAGAGTTAATCAAGTATTATTATACAGCATTTAAAAACAATTTTTATAATAATAATAGAGATGAGGTTTTCTACAGCTTCACATGTGATATCTACACTTTAATGGATTGTGTAGTATTTTCCATGCTTGGACCCCCTAAAATGTTCATCTATCTTTACCTACATGGCCTTTCTCTGCTAGAAACAATTGTCTGACAGTTCTTTGCAGAACAAGCTACTTCTTATCTTTCAATTATCATTGCTCATGTCTTCCCCTTTCCCTGACCACTCCCACACACCATTATTCCCATCCCTGAACACTGTCCCTTTCCTTGACAGCAGGTTTCTTCTTTTGTAACTCATCAGATGCTTATTTATTGTCGGTCCTCCTCCCCCACAGGGCTCTAAGTGATAGGAGATCATGACTGGATTTAGAATATGCCAGTTACAGTCTCCCCATGCCTGGCACATAGTAGGTATTCTATAGATGCTTGTTGAATAAAAACAGGAAGCAGGTGTGAATGAATGAATTTAACTTTCAAGTGTACACTCATGTGCCCATAAACACAACCAGGAATTATAGCATAATTCATTTAGACAGAATCATGAGAATGAAAGAGTTTTACTACATAGACTGGAGAAATATTACCACCCCTTAAAATGCACATGCATGGGAATGAGGAATGTTTCCATTTGAGAACTGAACAGGAAGCAGCCAACAGAGCTGAAAAAGAAAGGGTTATATATTCATTAAACTCCAGGCATAGGGCCTAAAAATGGAAAGGACTTACTAGAATGAAACAGTGATTTGTCTGTCAAACAGTAGAAACAGCAGCTTGGGAAGCTGGAAGAGCAGAGGATGTGAAGCTAGCTGGAGAAGAGCTGGGATCTTTGTAAAGGCAGATGACCTGGCAGCAAGCAGGCAGAAGAACTGACAGGAATTCTGTGAAGAGGCATACAGCTGATCGGAGAGAGCTTGGTGTGGAGAGGAAGGGTCCACACTAAGGCTAGCCCTGGTTCACAAGAGCCAAGGTGGAAACAACCCAAATGTCCACCATCTAGTGAACAGATAAACAAAATGTGGTATATCCATGCAATGGAATATTATTTGGCCATAAAAAGGAAAGAAATTCTGACATATGCTACAACACGGATGAGTCTTGAAGACAATATGGTAAGTTAAAGAAGCCAGACACAAAGGCCACATGTTGTATGATTCCATTAATATGAAAGATTCCAAATAGGCAAATCTATAGAGACAGAAAACAGATTAGTGGTTGCCATGAAGAGGGAGAATGGGCAGTGACTGCTTAAGGGTCGTAGGGTTTCCTTCTGGGTGATAAGCATTTTCTGGAACAATGGTAATGGTTGTACAATATTGTCAATTTATCAAATGCCACGGTATTGTCCATTGTGAAATGGTTGAAATGGTTGATTTTAAGTTATGTGTATTTTACTACAATCAAAACAGAAAAGTTGGTTGAAGTCCTGAGGGCTGATGTTCTGGCTCCTTTGGTCCCTGTTTACTTTGACAAGACTCACTCTTGGAAAATTTACCCCCTCTTGGGTAATAATCCCTCCGACCTCCCAGGGTTACTGAGAGATTAAATAAAATGGGGTACATCAAAAGCCATTAAAAAGAGAAAGGCATTTATTATAATTCATGAATGTAAACATTCATCCATTCATTCGCGCATGCCAATGTCATACTCCCATGATCAGTATTTGTTCATTTATTCATTCATTCCTGTATTTATTGAGCACCTAACAGGTGCCAGGTTTTAGGTGTGGAGATGTAGAGAGGAAAGAACAAACAAAACAACTTCCTGCTCTGACCACGAAATTTTAAGAATACAAGTACATTTACACTTTGTCAGCAGGAAGCCAAGTAGAAAGAGTGGAAGGAAGTGCTGGGCAGGGGCAGGTACTGCTTTATGTCAGATGGTGGGGCAGAGAGGCCCTTCTAATGAGGTGACATCTGAGCAGAGGCGTGAAGGACACAAGGCAGCAAGCTACAAGGACACCGAGGGCGATACAGGCAGAGGGAAGCACAGGCAAGCAGCCTCTGCGATGGTGCCAGGGGACACTGAGGTCATCAGAAGGATGTATCAGCACAGCGAACCAGGGTCTAAAATCTTCAGGGAATGAGGCAGAGTGACCTGCTGCCTTTAGATGCTTCCACAAAGAAGGGCAGAAGGTGATATAGGCTGAAGGTTTGAGTGTCAAAGCCATGGAGGTTTAGGGAAGAGAAAAGGACAATAGTTTGGGTGTGGTGATGAGGGCAGGCAGGAGGTCTGTGCCACTCCTACCCACGGGTGAGAAAACAGGCAGGATGTGAGAGGGCAGCAGGGAAGAAGGGTCCACTGGTGACATAGGCTGCTAGGTGTTCCCCCAGGCCTCTGAGGTGGGACTGAGGGAGGGGAGCCAACCACCTGATACCTATTACTAGGCATTTTAGACAAAAACAGAGGACTATGCCAGCAAAGAGCAGAGTGGGGTCCTTGTAGTATCAGCATCAGAAAACAGCATAGGTCTCAGAATTATTTAAACTCTGCCTTAGATATTCCTGAGATCATAGCCATGAAATTGTGGCTTTATTTACCTTTCCTTTCATTTTCGTGCTTTGAAAAATTATAGTAACTTCTCTGTCTTAACAAATAAGCTTCATTTAACTATAGGTCTAAGTCAATTCCATTTCCAATTTTTTTCAGAACTAAAAAATGACTACTGAGAATGAAAACAGACAGAAATGTCAATAAATAAATACATAGAACATGCCTTTACCTATAGACAGCAAGGTCCAGGATGATCTGCTTTTCATTGTCTTTCAAAGAGAAGTCAATTCTAAGAATAAGACATTTGGGGGAAAAAAAGAGATGACTTTAGGATACTGTACAGATAATCCCTTCACACATTCAGAAGCAAATTAGATAATAATTTTATAATAATGTCCAATGACAACTTATTTTGGTGGTTGGACAATCAAATGTCAATGGTAATTTTAAAATTTCAGCGAAACCTACAACATATTAATAAATTATTTGTGCTTACAGTGTTTAAATGTGAGAATCTTAAGGTAAATTACAAACAAAAAAAATTAGCTTTGGTGCAGAGATAGAGACATCTGGTGGCTAAAGTTTTCTTTTCCATTTCATGTGAGTTTGCCAGAAGCAAACTAAAACACTGGAATTATTTATGGAGAACTAAAGGTTGCTTTTGCCTCCCCTTTATCCTGCATTCGATTCCTTAGGTTTTAAAGAGTCCTGTCTTCCTTCTTTTTTCTTGCTATTTTTTTCTTCTCCTTTCATCGCTGACCTTCCATTGCCCTGAAAAAGGCTGAGACACTGCCCATTATCTATTACCTCTGTTTTATAGATGAAGAAACAGAGGTTCAAAGATGTTGGCATAGCTGAATTATAATAAATGCCTTTTCACTTTGTCTGCATGAGCCTGGCTAGGCAGGATTTCAAAGCTCTACCATCTTTCAACTGTACCCTGAGGCTGAGTCCTAGGTCTAGCTTCCACACTGAACATCATGCTATCAGAATTGCCTGGTCAATTTTCTTTTGAGCATTTCACTTATCATATTACTCTATAAAATATACAACTCAACAATATAAAAGAACATAAGCTAAACTGTTTAGGAAAATGCGAAGTTAGCAATAGATGTGGCTGTTAGCAGCATTTCTGCTTGTGGCAGAAATTGTCTCATTGCTTTCAATAGTCCAGGCCTGTGGGACTTCTTCACTGTCTCAAATGGCCCGTGCATTTGTAGAACCTCATCTCAGGAGCCTTTTATGTGCTCTTGCTCTGCCTCGATTTCTTATTACTTATAAAGTAATTTCAGAGAAGTTTCCTATGGCAGAGATTGCTATTTAGTTGCTATCTGCTTCCCCCTTTATTCCTAGTGACAGGAACCATGGTTTGAACTAGGAGCATGGCTATGTACAACAAAGGTTGCATTCTGTGGCCTCCCTTGAATGTAGGTGAGGTCAGGGGTGGGACAGTCGTTGTATGGCACGTTCTAAGAATGTCCCTTAAGAAAAGGAGCATGTATCCTTTCTTCCATTTTTTCTTCTTTATTTAGCTGAGTAGAACAGAATGTAGGAGGCCAACAGATGAACGATGGAGACTACTTAATAAGCAATTGCAACTGTCCAAGCAAGAGTTACTGTCAGCTAGAGGTGGTGGTGGGGTCAGTAAGACATGGCTGGATTCCGATAATATCGAAGGAAGACTTCACAGGGCTCACTGATAAGATGACAGAGAGAAGAATCAAGGGAGAATCCAAGGTTTCTGGTCTTAGCCAAGGGGTGAATGTGTGTTACTGAGATGGAGAACACAGGGACACAAGCACACGATGCTGGAGAGTGGTAGTGAGGCTTGAAATCAGGGGTTCTCTTTTAGCTATAATAAGTGTGCAATGACTCTCTTACATCCACCCAGTGATGTCAAACTTCTAATTGTTAGAAACAAATTTTTGATGCCATAAAGTGAAACCAACACCCAGGCAAAAGTTTTCTCAGCAAGGCAATATACTTCTATAGAAGGGCAATTCCTGCATGCAAGGCAGAGGCAAGGGAGAGCGAGCAAAACAAAGGAGAGCAGGAGTTTTTTATCCCTAACACAGATTCTGTTCCTGTGCCCTCCCGCTGCAGGCTGGGAATGGACTGCACAATCTAGGCTAATTCTGATTGGCTACTGTCGACCTCATCAAAGGAGGCAAGGGTGGGCGTTTCATGGGAAGGACAGGTACGGTACATCTTAAGGTGTTTGGGCACAGCAGAGATAGGGAGGGCTGATAGATGAAGGGGTACGATTACCTTTTAGAATAGAACAAAGAACCAGGAACCAAAACTCTTTGAAGAGGAACTATATGTTCTTAACAACATAACTGAATAGACAAGTCTTGAGCTCAGAGAAGAGGTTGGATCAAGTTGGGAGCAATGTAAAGAGTGTGTTTACAGCCATGGGATTTGGTGAGAGCCATGAAGAGCTAATGCGAAAAGGAAGACAGCTGAGTAGTTTGCTATAGGGCACCCAAAAAACAAAACCAAAGGGATACATCAAAGCTTAGAAAGATGAGCAGTCAGCTAGGTAGAAGAAAAATCAGAAGCAAAGGGAAGAAATTGCTTTAAGAAGGATGGTACTGAACAATTTGATCCAAATCTACTATGTCCAGTAAGACAAAGACTAAGAATTGAACACTGAATGTGGAAATAATATGGCTAAGGAAATTTCAGGATGATGGAATACACAGAAGTGGTTTCAAGAAGGAATGTGAAGTCAGAAACTGGAGACCAAGTGCAGACAATTCCATTAAATGGGGGCAGAGAAAAAGAGCTGTGGCTGGAAGGAAAACCAGGGGAAGGGAGGTTCTTGCTTTTGTTTTGTTTAAGACAGAGATTTTTAGAATTTGTTTGCACATGGGTGAGATTGATCTAGCAGAGTGGAGAGAACTAGTGCAGAAGACCAAGGATAACTGAGCAACTAAGTCCTTGATAGGCAGAGGGGATGGAGTCAGGGTGCTTACACAGATTGATTTTGGATAGGAAGTTCACCATCAGCAAGGGGAAGAGAGGGGAGTACATGGGACAGGTCCAGCTACACTGGTAAATCGGATGTTGGGAGGAAAAGAAATCTCCTGATTGCTTTTTTTCTCAATGAAATAGGAAACAAGGTCCTCAGTTAAGACTGTGGAAGTGTCAGATGATGTTGGAAGTAAGGAGAAAGAAGGTACGAGAGCAGCCTGCAGGACCGTGGGATAATGGACGGCCCAAGAAAATAAAGGAAGATTGCCAGAGTCCATTTGAGATCTGTGGTTATGAATTTAAGGTAAGACCAGCAAGAGGTGAATGGTCTCCTCCAGCCACACAGGAGGACCAGCCCAAGAGTGGGTAGTGTGCTAGATTTAAATAGGGTTGGGGTTTTGTGAGGTGAGGATGATGGAAAGAGAAAAAAACAAGAGAGTGGAAGACAAATGACAAGGATTGATTTCTTTTTTCTTTTCCTTTTTCCTTGAGACAGGGTCTCACTCTGTTGCCCAGGCAGGAGTGCAGTGGCATGATCTCGGCTCACTGCAACCTCTGCCTCCCGGGTTCAAGCGATTCTCATGTCCCAGATTCCCAAGTAGGTGGGATTACAGGCATGTGCCACCACTCCCGGCTAATTTTTGTATTTTCAGTAGAGATGGGGTTTCATCATGTTGGCCAGGCTGGTCTCAAACTCCTGATCTGCCTGCCTCGGCCTCCCAAAGTGCTGGGATTATAGGCGTGAGCCACTGCACCTGGCCCAAGGACTGATTTCTGTGATGAACCATAAAACTAAAGAATGGCAAGAGAAGATGAGGGGTTAGGGGAGAGTAAGAAAAATAGGAGAGTGAATTATCTTATGGTCTTCATGGGGGCATGTGGTTGTTGGAGTGGAGGAAGTTCCCCCAGGAACATAAGAAATAGCATCTAGTGAGACACTCGAGGTGAAGTTTCTGACGTGGAAGAGATATTGATGGTGGCAAATCTAGGAATGAAAATGAAATCATGTGGTTGAGTTGAGCTGGAGAAGTGAGCTGGTTGGGGAACTGAGAGGCCAGGGCTTCTGGTGGATCACCTACATGTTTGATAAAGTCATCACCAAGACTGATGATGGCAGGAGAGGCAGAGAGAGACACTGGTGTGGGTGAAAGATCTTCAATGAATTGAGAAGGCTGGGGTTGAGAGTTGATCAGGGTGATGTAGATGACTGCGGGAAGAAGGGGCAGGGGTGCTATATCTAGAGGGCTTGTGCTTCAACAAAGAAATGGAGAAAGATGGCCTGAAAGTGGCAATGGGCTGTAACTGTCCCTGTGGTGTATGTGGTGAGGAAGAACAGTGGGCAGTTGCAGAAGTGAATCCTCCGCTTCAGTTAGTGAAAGAGGAGAAATGGTGGAGGCTTCAGGCTCTGCTGTCCAGGCTCAAGCCCCAGAGGGCACAGGGGTCCAAAAGAGGCGAGAATGAGTTGAACTGGATCAGCGCCATTTGGGTGTAAGATTCTGGACAGTGGCGCATGACCTGGGAGGGCAGGAACAGGGGACGATCGCATGTCGGGAGGCAGTGCCACTGAGGAGGTGGTGGGTAATCAGTTCTTCATAGAATCACCCTCAGGAGAACTGGTTTTAGGGGCAGGTGAGGCTGCAGTGTGTGGGAAGAGTGGTGGTCTTACCAGAGACATATGGAGTTCTGGGAGTCTCCCTTGAGCTCTGTTGTAGACTAAAGAGAGATGGCCTAAACTTGATTTCTGAACTCCATGAGGTCAGAAAGAAACCGGTCATAGTCACTGCTCTATCCCCAGGGCCTAGCCTCATGTTCTGTCTTGCAGTCCTGTCTGCCGTATGTGGGTAAGGGGAAGGGATTATACATCTTATCATGGAAGTCACTAGAAGTAGGTTAGCATGAGCAACTCAGAAACACCACCTATTAGCTGTGTGACCTTGGGCAAGTCACTCCACCTCTCTCAGGCCCAGGCTGGACATGTAAGAAAGAAAGACTGTCTACCACCTGTGATTGCCGTGAAGATAAATGATTCCCAGAAATAATTCAAGATTGTGCCTTCACCATGGTCATGACAGAGCAAATGAAATCATGACGGAAAATAGGTTTGAGTAATAAAATGAAGTGAATGAGATTTAGTCTGTAGGCTCTTTGGTCTGTATTTTGGCTACAAAAGGCTTTTCTGTCCTGCTTTTTAATTTCAAACTTTAAAACAGATAAAGAGGGTAGATTAGATATTATTATACTTGAAGATTTCCAGTTTGAGTATCTGTCCTTTATTAAATTCATTGAGGTTATTATATTGATTTCCTTCCTTTGCTCTCAAAGGCTTTGTATATGGGCTCCAGAGTATAAAGTAGATGTATAGACGGTACATCAGTATTCTCAACCAGCTTGCTCATGGCAGAGTTTTAAAAATTCATAAATACAACAATAATGTGGTGGCAATTTTCAGGCATAAAACTGTATATGGTCCAAAGTTTCATGGGGTACATAAATAACTAAGATCTCCATATGCCAAGATCATTTGCTAGATGCCAAGACAATTATGCATTTGAAACATAATAGATGTTTTCCCTTTAAATATGCACCAAATGACATTATTTTTAGACTCATCAAACTTGTTAAGAGCAGTCAGATATATTCTTTGCAGAGCAAACCTGGAATTGAAACAATGATTGACCAACACCATTGATTGACACTTTTGGGTCTTTAACTCTCTATTTGGCCTCACATACTTGGGCTCATTTACATTTAGGGCTTTCCCATCTTCAGTGATCAAAGTCCTGGGTGGTTTCACTTTCTTCTTTTTTTCACTTAAGATTGATGGTGGGTGAGAACAAGGGGCAGCATGGAAAGAAAAAATAAGCAAAGAGAATATAAAAGCAATTAATACGTTTTTGTGAAACAGTTTTAAAAAAATTAATTGAACTTTTATGAACACATCAGCAATTCATTGTTCTGAAGTCCATTCCTTTAATTCTATGCTGGGAACTGACAATCAAGCCAGATTTTTTTACGTGGTTGTATCTGTATCTGTACAGCAAAAAAATGACCAAGACAATTTGCCAGATAATTTGAATGAGGGAAGAAAACTCCTTTTCATGACTGTCTATTAATATTTAAATAAGTCTATTTTATACATGATTTACCCAGATAACTGTCAACTCTCCATTTGTGTACAGAGCTTCTGCTTTAGCTAAAATACAACATTTAACATACCAATTGAATAGAATCTATTCAATATAAATAAAAATATCAGCACAGAAGAATCTATGTAAAAGGGTATTTCTCACAGCGTTATTTACAGTGGCAAACCCCTGGAACTGTTGTGAGTGCCCATCAGTGGAGGAATGGTTGAATCAACTGTGCTTCATTCATGCTATAACATATTTTGCAGCTATTAAAAAATGTGTTTGCTCATTACTTATTGATTTAGAAAAGTGTTTATGATGTCTTTAGTGAGAAAAAATATATAAAACATAAATACGTATTTGTTTTACAAAAAGACCCCAAATCTTACACTTGCAGAGATAATTTATACAATTATAAAGGGTTAAAAAAAATGTAGTGAGATCAACCCCAGCCTGTTAACAACACTCATTACATTAAAGGGTTGGATAGGAGGTAAATAAAGGAAGCAAATAATAGAAGATTAATTGAGTAATATGAAATTAAAATGCAGTATGTAAATTCTATTTAAAAGATTACTGAAAGTATATAGAAACTTAAATAGGCAAATATGGACAATATCTAGATCAGATGGAAAAATTTGTTTAGATGATGGAACTATTGGCAATTCTTTGCCTTAAATTTCTATTGTAACTTTAATACAGATTTTATATCAGTTAACTTTATTTTAGAAAAAATCATTCACATTCTTCTGCATCTTAAACTGGGCCTCCAGATCCAATAGAGTTAATATTTCAATGACTCAGGACAATTAAGGGGCATTCACAAGCCCTTAGCTTAATCCTACTCAGTGTAAAGCAGATCAGAGTTAGGAATAAAAGATTTCTTTTGTCCCTGCTTACACCCAGTTAATAAAAATGGCAACACAATCAGAGGCAAACATCTCAGGGACTCACTGGATTGGGAAGTCTAAGGTGTCCAAAACCTAGAGACTCAGATCTCCATCCAATTTAGCCTTACTTTATTAGGTGTCAGGGAGTAAAAAAAAATTCTCCTTATTTCAGGCTCAATACATAATAGATTAGATATTATTTATATATACCCACCGATATATAAATATAACATATGTGTGTATGAGTATATATGTAAGAAATATTTCACATTCTATAAACATGTAGAACTTCCATTTCAAAGGGCTCTTGAGTCTGCAGAGCACTTTCACATGTATGGATGGGCTCATCTGATTTTCTTAACGGTACAGTGGGGTAGGTAAGACAGGCATGATAATCCCTGTTTAGCAGACGAAGAACCAGATGAGGAGAAGTTAGGTACTTGCCAACATCACACAGAGGGTAATAGTGGAGTCAGGACATGCATACATAATCTTATTCAATGCTCTTCCCAAAGGGCTGTGTGGTCCCTTAGTGTGAAAATCACCCACGTTTTACAAACAAGTATTTTAGATAAAATTTGATTTTTGATTGTTATACCTCCCTGTATTTCTAATTAATGAAAATTTTATGAAAGCAGCTGAGATTTCAAATCTTTTTTACTTCTCCTTTCTTGCTTTTAGTTGTTAATCACAGAGAGAGAGATTGTGTTTCGTTTCACTTGAGGCATTGCCATGTAGATTACTATATTTCAGGGCTAATTTATCACTTTCTCAAGCTCATGAATAATAAATATTCCCATAAGTTATGTATTTTACACACTAGACTTCAGCAATGACACGAAATGGAATGACACAAAATCTGTTTTTGAAAAATCTACTCTGAAGATAATAGCATAAAAATCCTAGTTTCTAACAAATCATCAAATTATAGATAAACAATTCAAAAGTGAAATCATAGTGTTAAATGTCGAAGAAAGTTGTATTAGGAAAATAAAATGTCTAATAAAACTAATTTCCAATTCTTCACTTTGCAAATTAATAGAACAGACTCAAAAAGGAGCCCATTCATTCCACAAAATGAACTTTTTCTAGACTAGAAATACTAACGTATTAGTGTACCCTAATACACTATTATTGGGTATATTAAAAGTTGTAAAAAGCTAAAGACATACAAAAAATCTCTACCTAAAATGTCATAATTCATGATGTTCTAAAGAAGGTACTTTGATATTAATGAATGTTAGCCAATACAATTCAACAAAAAGCTATACTTAGAAAAAACAAAATCTATATATGAGTGCTAAAGGTTTAACACAAATAATGGGTTAAAAAAAAAAAGGCAATCATGAAAATATAGTTCATAAGTGGCTACTGCTTCCCTCTCAAAGGAAAGAATGAAATACCTTAATTTTTCCTGATTTTTCCGTTGTTTTTCCATGTGTCTAAGAGTTTCCAATCTCGATTCAGGAGTAAATAAGCAGGGCTTATTCCAGAATTCCAAGTCATCTTCACTGTTATCTAATTTCTTTGTGTTGTGTTCCTCTGTGTCTGGTGCCTGTAGGTGGTCTTTGTTCTCTAAAGAGGAACTAGGAAAAACAGAGCACTTAAGAACAATAATGGATTCATGAGCTTCATCCTTAATGCTGGCCCTTTAATATCTACACAGTTTTCTTATGTGATCTTCTTACCTTTGAATGACAAAGTGACTCTGAAACACAGTCTATCCAGGCCTGGTTACCCTGGCCTGGATATGTAGTGAGATCAACCCAAGGCTGTTAACATTCATTACATTGAAAGATTGAATAGGGCAGGCCTTCATCTTCTATCATCAGGAATATTGAGGTAATCAGATTCCAGGGTTCACAGACCTGACTGCTAAGGATCACCTGGGGAGCTTTATAAAAAGTACAGATTCCTGGGCTCTCATCAGAAAGCCTATTCAGTAGATCTGAAGTAGTTCTGAAGTAGTAGATCTGAAGCCTGGGAATCTGTGTTTTATATTTTGCAGGAGATTCTGATGATCAGACAAGCAGTCACCCCACCTCTAATCTCGTACCTGTCAATTACACTCTCCACACTACTCCCAGAGGGACTTTTCTAGCAGGCAAATTGGATCATATTATTTCTAGGTTTTTTAATGACTCTCTTATCTCCAAAATTCGCTTGTGGGACATATGACACTTTTTATAGTATGGCCTGTACCTAGTTTATTTTTCATGGATAACTTCTGATTATGTAGCTTTATATGGTAACAGGTCTCTCTTCCCTTTTATTCATGTTTTGCAGACTGTCAGAGAATTAAACAATGTCTCTATATGTCATCAGATGGGTATTATGTGAGATAGTCAACATTTGTTCAACACGGATCCCAAAAATATTTACTGAGCATCTTCTGTTGTGCCAGACACCAGAGATACAATCCTGGCCTACACAAACCATGACGCTACTTTCAGGGAGATTCTATTCTTGTGGCAAGAAAATGACATCATTCAAGCAATAAACATTAGGTATAGTCTCTCTCCCCTTACCTCTCCCTAGAATAGACACTTTATTAGATGACATTAAATGAAGAAAATTACATGATGTCTTTAATACCAACTATAGAAAATAGTAGGTACTCAATATATGTTGGGTTTTGTTATTGAATGAGGTGACAAGAAAGGCTCCTTTAGTTATCTTCAAACTAAAGACATTTTCTTCATTTTGACAATATCTTTTCAAATATATTTTCTTTATCTCGAAAATATTGTGAAAGATATTTTTCAAAGGGATGAACCAAAAATACTAGAACATGAAATTTAAGTAGCATCAATAGAATATATAGTAAAATTCTGCTGTCTTTACAGATACAATGCAACTAAATATTTTAATAAGCAAAATAATGCAGATTGCTGAAAATAAATAAATTGTTTTGCTATACAGCTACAGTTCTTTATGGTATTGAAAGAATAATCTATGAAGGGTATCTATAATATTCTACAATATTCTAGATAATTGCCACTGAAATAATTGGTTCCATTCTCATTTAACCATTTAAATTATATTTTTCCTGGAAAGTGACGAATTGGTTAAATCTGGCCTTTTGCAATCTACAATAATAATTATAAAAACATAAAAATAACAGTACTTAAGAAAAATTATCAGAGATATGAGCTAAATAACATAAGTCTCCAAGGCAAAATGCATATAAATGTGTGTAGCTGGTTGATGAAACAAAGTGAGCTCATTAGTGTATGATCAAAAACACTTTCTCTTCAAACACTGCCTTCAAACCTGCTCTCTCAGAACTCTCTACTCATCCATGAGCAGATCCCACAGCTCTATAGTCACTTTTAAGAACAGGATTTCAGCTAAACATTCACTTTCAGATACTAAAGGGTCTAAAGTGTAAATAAGAGTTCAGACCTAAGTTTCAAATCGAAGCCATTCCCTCCCTCTCCAATCCATTCTCTCTCCTGGCCCTGTTTCAGATTGGGGTGTGCATGGGAAGAGGAACACCCTTTCCTACTTTTCACTGTCATCCATTCCTTCCTCTGAATCCCATACCACTGGGCATCTTAGGTTCAGAGGCTTCCTGCCTTCAGAATTTGGGACCTGGGAAGATGAATGAGGAGAAGAAGGTGAACATCTCTTATATGACCACTCCTATTATAACCTAGCTATTGCTACCCTCGCTGGGACCAGTATCCAGATACTGACTTTCTCTTCCTGTAAGCACCTTTGTCATTCTTGGAGACACTACAAGAACCCTCCAAGTGTACTGTTCACTGTTGAGGTGGTCAATATACTTCCTGGTTCCTTTTGTGATAACTCCCCAGCTTCTGCCACTGATAATCCACCCCTTAGTTTCTTATTGCTGCTGTCCTATTGGACAGCATCTCTGCAAGACAGCTCAAATCCAGCTCTTCTACCATGTCTACTTGGTCTATACAATATTCGCAAATCCTGGCTGGGTGCGGTGGCTCACGCCTGTAATCCCAGCACGTTGGGAGGCTGAGGTGGGCACATCACGAGGTCAGGAGTGAGAGACTAGCCTGACCAACATGGTGAAATCCATCTCTACTAAAGATACAAAAATTACTCAGGCATGGTGGCACACACCTGTAATCCCAGCTACTCAGGAGGCTGAGGCAGGAGAATCGCTTGAACCCAGGAGGCAGAGGTTGCAGTGAGCCGAGATCGCATCATTGCACTCCAGCCTAGGAGACACAGTGAGACTCTGTCTGGGAAAAAAAAAAAGATATTCACAAAATCCTTTATGAAGTGTGAGCTGTTGCCATTAATACCTTCTTCCCTGATCCCTCTGCTCCAGGTCACTTTCTATCTTTTCAATTCTCCAGGCTGGAGGCAGGCTCTACCTAGTCAAGAGGAAAATGTTCATCTCCCTTTCTTGCAGCCTCTGATTCTCTGTAGTATTTCTTCTTGAAGCCTTGAGAGGGAAATAATCTCCTACTCCTCACCAACTAATTCAATGATTCAGGATTTCAATGATTCTCCTCCAGAATGTCCATGTTTCTGTTCAAATAGGCTAAATAGGGTGAGAATGGTGAAGACTTAAGGATCAGCCAGGTCTATGGGGGAGGCAAGAAGGCACCTGCAAGAAACCACACTGTAAACTTCTACTAAAATACAAGGAACAGATCATTTTAACTTTTGTAAACTTTCAGAAGCCAAGGATAGTAAATTATCTCCAAGATATTGTATGTGCCTATTACATAACTTTGATGCAAAACAGCAGGAAAAAAATACAATGAGACAAGGATATCATAGCATAAACTCACTTATGAACACAGGTTCAAATATTAAAATAAGATATTAGCAAAATCAATGGAGCAATGCATTAGCAAATAATCATGGACAAAGGATGTCTATCCCAGAAATTCAAGGATGGTTTAACATTAGAAATTCTATTAATGTAATTCAACACAGTAACAGAAAAACACTATTATCTCAATAAATTTGGGGAAAGCATTTAATAAAAATCAATATAATGCATGTGATGATAAAAGCTCTTCATCAACTGAGAATAGAAGGAAGCTTACTTAACAAGACCCAAAAACCCATAGCAAACATTATACTTAATGATGAGAAATTGCAAACATTCTTTTTAAAGTCAGAAACAAGATACAGATACCCATTCTTAACACTACTATTCCACTCCATACTGGAGACCTTTGCAGGCAACATGAAGAAAATAAAGTAGAAGGAGAGGGATTGGAAAACAATTTTCAAGTTACTGCTTACAAACAATGTATTTTTCCAGTTGGAAAATGCAGGATTGCCTCTTTCATAAAGGTTAGCAAGATTAACACAATATCAGTATACAGAAATAATTTGTCCCTTTAAATATCAGCAAAACCAATTACATCTATTTTTAAAATCTCATTCTACAAGATACTTAAAAATAGAGACAATGAAAGATGGTTTAAGACTTTTATAGTGAAAATTTAAAACCTCATTGAATGACTCAGAAGAAGGTCTAAGTAAATAGAGCGCTTCTAAAGTTCAGCAAGGAAAGAATCAATGTCATGAAGATGCCAACTTTCCCCCAATTAACATACAAATTAAATGCAATTTCAATCAAAATTCCACTAGGGATTTTTAAGGAATTTGATTAGCAGCGGATTCTAAAACTCATACAGACAAGTAAGGAACTAAAAATAGCCAAGATAACTTTGAAAAATGAGAATATCTCCTACCAAATATCAAGATATGCTATAAATCTATACAAACTAAAACCAGGTAGAAGTGCTCCTATGGAACAGTCTAGAGAACTCAGAGATGAACCCATGAATACATGGTTTGAAGGGATTAGTAAGGGTGGCATTTCAGATCAGTGGGAAAAGAATAGCACCTTAATAAATGATACAGAGACAATTAGCTACCCATATGAAAAACTATTAGTACCCTACCCTATACATTGGCAAAGGTTAATTCCAGATAAAAAGATACAAACAGATATGGTACTGGGAAAAAGCAGCATTCCATAAACAAGACAAAAATGTACAAATAAGTTTAACTACATTAATATTTTTAAACTTCATAAAACACAAGCACTTATAATTAAACACAAGTCACAGACTGGGAGAAGACACTTGTAAAGCACATAACCACCAAAGAATATATTTTTTATTTGTATCCAGAATATAAAAGAACTATCAATAAGAAAAAAACTTAACAACTTATTTAAAACAAGTAGGGGACTTGAATAGAGGATATCTGAATAACCAATAAACATATAAAAGATATTTAAAATATTCAAATTCACTAGTAACTATAGAAATGCAAATTAAATTTTTTAAAAATAGAGGATACTATATACTATGCAACACACTTGATTGGCCAATATTTTAAAATATATTATCCAGTATTGGCAAAGACTGAAAACTCCTGTATATTGATATATTAGTATAAATTATTACAAGTACTCTAGAAAACAATTTGGCAATATGTATAAAGTTGAAAAGATGTCAAGATTGTTGTAGCAATGCCATTGCTAAATACCCTGAAGAAATTTTCATACCTGAACAAGGGGACAAGGGCAACATTGCTTGAATATCTCAACAAATGTTCAACATAGATTCAAGAAAAATTTATTGGGCATCTTCTGTTGTGCCAGGCACCAGAGACACAGCCCTGGCCAAGATAGATCATGATGCTACTTTTAGGAGATCCTATTCTTGTGAGAATTGGAAATGGGAATAGGGAAAACAACGTGCATGGCCAGCCAAAGAGGGATGGCTGTGTCCAGGTTGACTGGCTGGCATCACTAGAAGGATTGCATGTGTTGTTGGAGCTGCTGCACCTTCTGATTGGTCAGGGCAAGTGAAATACTAGCTATTAACTATTTTGAATATTACCTCTAGGATAAGTTATAATTTATAACTTATAACTGGATATTATTCTATACTTAAAATGAATTAGTTTTACATGTCTTCATATGCATAAATCTCAAAAACATAATGTTGCATGAAAAGCAAAGCTATAGAATGTTATCATTCATGGTAAACACACATACTCAAACTACTATTGTTTAAGGAGGCATACTTGTGAAATAAAGGTATTAAAAATATGAATGAATCAATATATATCAAATACACACCAGCTTCAGGATAGTAGATGCCACCAGGATGAAGAGAGGAATGGGATGAAGGGGAAATACTTAAGGAGCTTCTACACTCTTAATGATATTTTATTTCTTATTTTAAAAAAGATCCAAAGCAAACATAAACTATTGTCATTTATTAAATGTAGGTGGTAGAACTACAAGCTGCCTATATAACTATTTTCAAACATTTATGTACGTCTGAAATACTTTATAAGTATTATTTCCCCAATTTTAAGGGATTCTGTTATCTAAATGCCTTATACTTTAACTGTATGGAATCAAATCAACTGACTATAGTTGCAATTCACTTAAATAAACATGAAAATTTTAATTTAAAAAAGTTATTAATCACATTAAAAATGTATTCAGTATATAATTAAGGAAACAGAATGTTGTATGATACAATTAGAATTATTCAAATTATAATAATGTGATTTGTATTTAACCTTTCTAAAATACTCCTAGTTTGTAAATCAAAGTACACCTGTTAATTCACCTTTTCTGTACATATTTTATGGATTTTTCTGAGAATAATTTTAGATGGAAATTAAAGTTGCTAGTTTAAAAAGGAATTTTTCCCCCAAGGAAAGAAAGCCTTACAGAATTGTCACAAGCAATGGGATGCTCATATTCTTCCATCCAAAATTCACATCATATTTTATTCTTCAAATTAATCCGGAATATAAGTGTACTGCAAAGAACTTGAAAAGAGAATACAGTTTGCTGCTTTTAACAAAAGTTGACTAGAAAGTAAACTAATAATTTACATACAGAGTAGCATTGATGTCTGTGTACCAACGTCCGTCAAAGCCTGCGTAACTTCTCTTGTCTTCATTTTTATCCTCTTCTTGGTGTTTCCTCTGAGCCTCTTCTTTGAGTTTGGCTCGTTTAAGACAGTGATCTTTTTCCTGCTCTCTGATTTGTGGTTCAATTACTGAATACTCCTGCAATGCCTTAATCCTTTCTGAAGGCTCTATTTCTTTACCATCCAACCACTTAAACAAAAAACAGTAAATATAGTACAATTGTTCAAAAGTAGTAGTGTGAATCAGCCCCAGGTTGATTTTGATTAGAACTTTTGAAACTTAGAAATAATAATACACCACAGTGATAGAGAATTAAAACAATATAATTAATGGGAACTATCAGAACATTGTTCTAAATCAATGTTTATTTCATACAATTTACACAGTTTTAAAAATACCTTTACTGGTAATAATAATGATTAGGTCTTCTGTTAAAAATGATAATTAATATAAACTCTCAAAATATTTTATGTTAATTTTATAATTGCTCACTATGTCAAAAATGTCAATGCTTAAGTCAAATCATAGCTTCAAAGTACAACAATGGCACTTCTCAAAAGCTCTCTACAGAAAAAAAAAAAGGCCTTGAATACTATGCATGACTGGGCTCTAATACCAATGAGCCCATGTTTCACCCTTAGCAAGATAGATAGGCTATTGTTACAGCATTGTTTACATCTGATAGTTCAATTATGATTTTCCAAAGTAAAATATTAAAATAAAAGTGTCAATTAAAACCTAAAATGTTAGAGCTAACAGTTTAAAGATACCTATTTATCTACCCAGCCTTATTCTGCAAAATGAGGTGAGGTATTTAGGAAGGGGTGGTTGGAAGATAATGGTTCCCCAAGAATGTCCATGTTCTAATCTCCATGAATGTTACCTTACATGGCAAAAGGGGCTTTACAGGTTTGATTAGGTTAAGGATCTTGGATGATCAGGGTGATTCTTGTAAGGACCACAGAGGTCCTTATAAGTACGAGAGAGAGACAAGAGTGTCAGAGTTAGGGAGAGATGTAAAGTTGGCATACTGATGTCTTTGGGGATGGAGGAAGAGGCCATGAGCCTAAAAATGCAGGTAGCCTCTATAAGCTGAAAGGAGCGAAGTAAGGGATTCTCTCCTAGAGCCTGAAGAAAGAATAACCCTGCCAACACCTTGATTTTAGCCCAGTGAAACCATTTCAGGCTTTTGATCTCCAGAATCATAAGGTAATACATTTGTATTAAGTCACTAAATTTGTCTCAATTTGTTACAGCAGCAATAAGAAACATATAAAAGGGGAAAAAATACACAGAAAGATTTAGTAAAATACAAATTAAAAAATTATTAGAATCAGTTGAATTATAGGTCAAAATTATCTAGAGATTTGGTAAAAAGATAATTCCAAATATGCTTTGGTCATAAGAACTCATATGGTTGCTATAGATGGGCTGCAGATTTGGTTCCGAGCTTCTTGGCAGCCAAAGTGAAAGAGAAAAACATAATTAGTTACACAATTTTCATGGTCTTTAAGGAAAAAATACAGTTTGTAGCTTCCCTCTAACATGCGGCTCTAAAACACATTTCTAGCACAGAGTTTCATAATGGAGACCTTGAGAGATGTCAGGCATTGTTTCTCCAGAAATATGTCCATACAGTCACAGGTTTCATAGGGCTGTTTCTTGTAGTATCCTTCAATAAAGGTATCCTCATACCATTATGTATGAGGTCATAATGATAAACCCAATGCAATAAAACCTATTATTTAAGGCATTAAGTAATTGTAGTCCACATACTTAATCTGATCTAGTTTAATACAGGGTTGTGATCAAATCAATTTGGAAATTTTGGGATAAATGAAATTTACTTATTTTGTAAGTATATATAAGTAAATACACTAATATAAATATATGAATCAACATAATTATAAATATATATATAATTAATACTATATAAATACAGCACTTTCATAAATTTCCATTAAGTCATCCAATGTGTAGTACTTTGTTATATTAATTTATATAGTATAATTTACATATAAATATATATTAACATAAATACATTATATATAACTGTGTATTATAATAAGCTAGAAAACTCTAGCTTATTATAGATAATTTCTTTCAACTGGGATTTTTTCCCAACAGAACCCTGGGGAGCAAGGTGATCTTTTCCTCCTTGTAATTGAAGTACATTGATTGATTGATTGATTGATTTCTGTCTTATAAACGGTTTAAGCCTATTTTGACTTAATTAGCACTACTATTCCTAAAAGGCTATGACAACTGAACCCTCTGTCACTTTACTAACAGGAGGCGAAAGACCTCATATTAATAACTAATGACAAATTTGGGACTTTACCCCAGCACCTATTCTAGGAACCTCACTTTTTTAGCGATTTCTTTTAGTCTTTGAAATTGGCCCACATTTCCTTCAGGCCAGAATCACGTCTGAGTTTAGAAGGCCTAAGAATCATAGATTCAGTTTTAAGCTGAGTGTTTCTTTATCTTTCTTCACCCAGGATTCCTGCAGCACAAAGGTGGAGTGTCCACACTTATTGATAATAACTGTGCAAGTGCTGAAGCAGAGAAAGGGACACTAAGATGTATTGAAGGCCTCACAGAACTCCCTTGAAGTAGGAATTATGATCCCACTATACATCAGTAAAATGAGGCACGCAATTCACAGGCAGTGGAAGCAGGTGTCAGACCTTGGTTTGTCTGCTAACAAATCTGTTTCCCACTGCACTGCAGGGTCTACCTACTTCTGGAGTGGCTCAGACACTGGGAAGAAAATCCTTGAAAAGGGCTGACTCTCCTCACACCTCTTCTATGTGAGTATCTAAAATAACTACTCTGCTGTTATGGGCAGAATTGACAAAAAAAGATGTTGAAGTCCTAACCCCCAGTAGCTCAAATCATGGACTTTTTGGCAACAGGGTCATTATGGATGTAATTCCTTGAGACGAAATCATCCTGAAGCAGGTGGGCCCCAAGCCAATATAACTGGTGTCTTTATAAAGAGAGAGCCCTGTGAAGAGGAAGGCAGAGACCCTCCGGGTAATGTGTCTACAAGCTCAAGAATGCCAAAGATTGGCCGGCAAGTTAGCAGAAGCTAGGAGGGAGGCATGGAGCAGATTCTCCCTTGCAGCCCCTGGAAGGAACCAACCCCATCAACATCTTGAACTGGAACGTCTGGCCTTCAGAGCTATAAGATGACATGTTTCTGTTGTTTAAGCCATCTAGTTTGCAGTACTTTGTTACAGCAGCCCTAGGAAAATAATACATTTATTAACACAATTCCTTTCAAGCAGCTCACAAGCTGTCAATGAAATGGTAATTAAGATTCCATAGTATATCAAACTATTTTAAAATATTAATAAATATATGAATGCTATTTTTCAAAAAGGGGTTGTTTTCTATTGAAGCAGTTGATTTGGAGAAGTCTTTCTGAAAGGAAAGACTTGATCCAAAGCCTGTAATTTAACCCAGAGAGAAGCAGTGAGTGTGGGTATAGTGTGAATGGTGGAGGCATCAAGGTCGGACTCATGTAGGTTCAAATCCCACTGGTGTCACTTGCCAGATGTATCAGCCTAAACAAGCAGCATTAACTCCCCGAGCTCTGAATGCACCTAATTGTCTCCCTGATTGGGTCTGGGAGGATCAGAAACACTGTGCACAAAGTACCTGGCACAACTTCTCACCCTGTCTGCGGCAGCCATATGATGGCTCTCACACCTCTAGCCTGACCAGGCTCAGCTGCGGCACTGCCACAGGCTCAGCTGTGGTGACCATGAGGACTCCTGGACCCTTAGCCCTTCCAAGGGCATGGCTCACAGCATTACACTACAAGACCTAGTTCTATGATAGTCTGGGTCTCATCAGTTCATTTTCTAGGAAATCACTGTATAATAATGATCAGTTTAGGTTACATATGAGACAATTTATTATTTATTCTATATTCAATTACCTGAATCAAAGGTAATTAAAATTAGATTAATTTTTCTAATTTTAGATTTTCTAATTTTAATTTTTCAGATTAAAATTTCTCTTAATCTGAGAAATTTTACATTAGAAGAAATGTATTCCATTAATCCAGCAGTTAGCAGTCTCTTGACTGCAGAGAACACAGAAGTCTAAGAAACAAGTATCCTTTGAGAACTGAAAAAATGCCTGTTGCACAGGCGATGTATCCATGCATTCTCTTTCCAGGAACATGGAGCCACATGCAGGCTGGGAACTCTTGGAATTACATGAAACTTAACATTGCTATTTTAATATTCTCTGTTGCATGATTTCTCAAGAAATAATATTTTTTCCTCAGTTCTAAAATTATTCGATTGGGGGGATATGGTATAAGAGTAACATAAACAGTCGTAGTTGTCAAATGAGGTCCCTGCACCAGCAGCAGCACTTACAGATTTTGTTAGAAATGTGAAATCTCAGGCCCCATGTCAGACCTGACCCAGAAACCCTGGGGGGAGGAGCACAGCAGTCTGTGTTTTGAAAAGGCCTCCACGTGTTCTGATGCACACCAAAGACTGTGAACTTGCCGGGCACAGCAGTTCACGCCTGTAATCCCAGCACTTTGGGAGGCCGAGGCAGGTGGATCACCTGAGGTCAGGAGTTCAAGACTAGCCTGGCCAACATAGTGAAATCTCATCTCTACTAAAAATACAAAAGTAGGCGGGTGTGGTGGCACATGCCTGTAATCCCAGCTACTTGGGAAGCTGAGGCAGGAGAATCACTTGAACCTGGGAGGCGTAGGTTGCAGTGAACTGAGATCATGCCATTGTATTCCAGCCTGCGCAAGAAGAGAACAAGAGCGAAACTCCTTCTCAAAAAAAAAAAAAAAAAAAGAAAGAAAAATTAAAAAAAGACTGTGAACCACTGCTACAGAGAAAATGTTAAGAAAAAGCAATGATAAAAAATAATAATTATAAAAGCACAGTAGCTTAAGACTATGTAATACAAAGGTACATAGCTGTAGCTACTTCTAAAACCCTAAGCTTTTGGTTTGCTACAAGTAATAATGAATTCTAATCAGTAATGATGAATGTTCTTTGTAACTATGATTTGAACTCATTGAGAAAAAGTCAAATTAAGTTCTGTATGTTTTGGATGAGAAAGGTGAAAAATATGCAATTTATTTTTCAGGGATTTATTAAAACTATTCAAACAATATTAAAGGTCTAGCCATTCAGATAATTACTTTGGGCTCTTTGGAATATTCCATTATCTGAAACAACACATTCATTGTTGCTGCAAGTAAAGCAGGAATTATTATAGTTGCTCATGCTCATTTCTCTGTGATTTCTGCACCATTAAAATAACCATACCTTTAATTGTGGAAGAGTTGCTACCACGAACTCTCTATAGTGGTCAAAGAAAGCACATGGGTTCCCCATGAGAAAGAGCTCCTTTAGATGGATATTGTGCTTCAAGGTTTTAATGCTGCTCAGCTCTCCAATGAAATTTACAGTCAAGTCAAGTTTTGCCAGCTCTTCGCATCCTGTTGAGAAAAATAAAATGAAAACAAAGCAAATAAAGAAAAATCACAGTGGTAATAAAACATGTGTAATAGCACATAATAGAAGTAACAGCTGTAGTATTTTCAGTCTGCTGATTTATTGCATTGCTTACCATGAAGTGATTCTTCAGAAATATCAACTCAAAGGCTTCATCTTAACTCATTTTTCTATTTCTGTCTCCCCTTATTTTCACCCTCTGAGTCCTTCCAGCCAGGGGAAATCACTTTCCCTGCTCACAACAAGACTGGTTATTTTTTTTTGATTTGGTCACTATCTGGCATGAAAAAAGCAAAAGTATAAGCTGCTACTACAGTGGGTGCTACCTCAGAACAAAACTCCTACTAGACAGGGCACCTGGAACCTGTCCTCTTGAGTTTTAGCAGGTTGGTAGGACATATTTCATCTTGGAGGGTGATAGTGGAAAGTTTCTCCAAAAAGAAAGGCATTTCATAAAACCAGTGCATCAGAACCAATATTTGCAAAGTCACCTAGCAGAGAGAGAATGGCTCTAAGGCCACCAAGAACTGAACTGAAGGTATTAACAAAAGTGAAGAATAAGATGTTTTGATGTTCAAAGGAGTAACAGAAAAAGGGTGAGTCACTGAAGTAGGGTTTTATAGTAAATCTGACCCATCCACCTTCATTACAGAGATAGCCAGATGCTATAGAAACTTGAATCGAATCTAAATTTGAATTTGAATTAATCCCCTCATTCACATTCCATGCAAATTTGGTGGCTAGGAGTTCAGACTTGGGAATTAGACAGATACAAGTTCAAGTGCTTCCTCTACCTCATCCTTGCTAATGTGACCTTGGGTAAGTTACAAGCTTCAGCCTGCTCATCTATAGAATTATAATAGTATTGGTACCAGAGTCAGAAGTTGTGAAAATAACATAAGATGACTCACGTAAAGCGCTTAGCATAATGCTTGCCACTGAGAGTGTCAGTAAACATGAGCTATGATTAGAATAGCTCAATGAGCACTCTAATTATCATATGACTTCTTGGACAATGTACCTATAGGGAAAGAAGCAAGCACAGCTGTCTCATGAGCAGAAACCTTACAATTTCTTTCCGTGAACTAAGAAGAGTTGACCTAGTTTAGGCAGCAGCCTTTGTGGGCTTGGTTCAATATAAGATTATCTCTCACTATGACTGCCTCATGCCTGTGGGATTAACATGGCAGATTTTGCAACCTCCAATGTCTAGAAAGCCTTCCCCAGCTAATACCCCAGGTCCACCTTGTTCTGCATTTATTTCTTCAAAGTTCTACACACCTTTCCATTATGATTCCGTATTATCTATTTTTTTGTAATTTTTCTGTGGCTATATAATTTAGAGTGAATTTCAGTTTCTGACAGATTAATGTCATCAATATGAATTTGATTTGGATTGGTTTACAGCTATGCAACTGTGTCACCTTTGGTGAGGTTTCCTCATTTCTGAAGGCTATATAATGGAATCAACTTCATTAAATGATGGTGTTCCCTCCCTGTTCCCTTATTCTATCCCCTGACTCAATCTTGTCCAGAATTTCATGTTTTCTTCTTATTAAGTCAGACCCCAAGCCAATCTCCTCCAAATAAGCAACCTCTATCTTAGAACTTTCAGATGTATGACCTCACTCTATATCCATCTATCCATTCATTCATCCACCCACGCGGGAGTTGCAGGGTGCCTGCTACATAGATGTTGCTAAGCAAGGTCTTTAGAATAAACTGATTAAAAAAAAAAAAATCATAGTCCCTGAGTTCACACTTATGTCTAACATAGAGAAAATATAAAAAGAGAAAAAAAATACAAGGAAAAAAAATTAAATGTGCAAACACAGAATCCAGAAGTAGGCAATGCCCATTAGACATTGAAAGCTACCCTAAACCTATATTCATTGGTTCTTTTTCAATTCCCATTCATTGCTCAACCCATTGTTCCTGGCATTCTATAAGATCTGCTTCTCTAAAGGTGACCAAGGACCATGATATTAGCAGTCTAATCGACCTTCTTCAACCCACTTTTCACTAGAACAATCTGCTGCATATGGCACAATTATTCATGAATTATCTCTTAAAATTCTCAGCCGTCTTGGTAACAGTGATACTACTCTCTTCTTGTTCTCCTTATAATGTAGTCTGTTCTTCTTCATCTCTTTTATAAACTTCTCTATCCCTTCAATAGTGATATATCCCAGAGTTCCACCCTTGACCCAGTATTTTCTATCATCATCTTCTTGATGACAACAGTCATGGTTATTGGTTTAACTAACCCCAGATTCTGATGATTTCCAAATGATAACCCACTATCTGAATATCATACTCCTATTTTCAAATGTCTGCAAAACATATTACATTCAACATGTTCAAATGGAATTCTCCCTATTTCTTCTTATTCTCTATTCCTCAACACAGCTTCTCTGCCTTGTTTATGTCTAAACTCTTTCAATACCATGACTATTTTGGTTTTAGACATGAATTTGATACATCTAAGGGTCAAGTCATAAATTTAAAAGTTAAATTACTCTCTTAACTACTTCATGTCATTAGCCAAGCCCCAGAGACCTTAACTCCTAAATTTTATCATATACTTCCTGTCTACTATAATCTTATTATCCATACCCCAGGTTCTTATCACCTTTTGCAATGAAATATGGTAATAATCTCCTTCATATACTTATTTCAAGAATATAAACAGTTTGAAAGAAGGAAAGAACAGATAAAAGTAGGAAAAGAAAAGAGGAATCTGGAACTTCTTGATGTACCACTAAGCAAGAAAGTACTCAAAGAAAGATAAGAACATTTTAAAATGTCAGAAGAGTCTACTTGGAAGGGCTTCTGTAGCCAAACCTGGGACATTGTGATCATTAAACTAAATAATGGTAGTAACATAATTCGTTGAACGAAACAGGAATCCATGAGTCTATGCCAATATAAGAAATACGAATAAATTGGGGGAGAAGGCAAAGTTTTTTCTTAAAGAAGAATGTCATCTAATAAATATAAAAAGAATGATGGAATGAAAACAAGTCATTAGAATGTTAAAACCAGTGCATGAAAGTATGATGAGGCCGGGCGCGGTGGCTCAAGCCTGTAATCCCAGCACTTTGGGAGGCCGAGACGGGCGGATCACGAGGTCAAGAGATCGAGACCATCCTGGCTAACACGGTGAAACCCCATCTCTACTAAAAAATACAAAAACTAGCCGGGCGAGGTGGCGGGCGCCTGTGGTCCCAGCTACTCGGGAGGCTGAGGCAGGAGAATGGCGTAAACCCGGGAGGCGGAGCTTGCAGTGAGCTGAGATCCGGCCACTGCACTCCAGCCTGGGCGACAGAGCGAGACTCAGTCTCAAAAAAAAAAAAAAAAAAAAAAAAGAAAGTATGATGAGGAATAGGATATCTACATAATGTTCAAGTATCTTCCCACAAATTACTCATTGGTTAAAAGTGAAATATAGTAATGTTACAGTAGAGAAACCTGGTAGACGCTGTCTTTTCTTTGGTTCTTTTTATGGCAATCAGATACTCTCTAACACACATATTGTTTCATTTTAATTTTGTATACATCCTTTGTCATATTTGATGTTCTTCTTTTTTGTTTGAGTGTTTATGACCTCTCTTCCCCATTAGAATTTAAGCTCCATGGAGAAGGGAAGATTGACTTGTTAATTACTTTATTTCCCACACGTAAAAGATTCCTTGGCATAAGATAGAAGGTCAAGAAATACTTGTAGAAGGAATGAAGAGATGGGAGGAGGAAGAGAGGGGAGGAGAAAAGAAAGAATGAGAAAGACAAAGAAGGAAAATGGGTAAGTGCAGCAGATAAGTCAACAGATAGATTAGTTAGTTGGCTCAGGTGAAAACTAAAGGAAAGACAACTTTAAAGATAATTGAGCAACTGAGGGGAAAAATGGAATTGACAAGACTGAGTGTAGGTGACTATTATAGTTGGACATTAAATTCTAGTAAATATAATTACATGATATAAAATAAATAAGCATATGTAGGAAGAGACTCAATGTAGAAAAATGGTTAAGCAAACTCTAATACATCTATTCAATGTTTAATGTTATAAGTACATCTAAAATGATGGTTATGAAAACTATCACAGCATGGAAGAGGAGAGCTCATGATATAATGAAAATGGAAAAAGCAAGATATAACATCACCCATGCGCCAAAATTACAACAATGTAAAAGGCAGAAAAATAAATATAGCAAAATGATAATAGCAATGGTGGAATTAAGATTAAACATCATTCTGTTTTTCAAAATTTTGCAACATGGTTATAGTTGGGAATTTTTTAAAGTATACAAATAGATAAAATACATAAAACTGACAGAAAACTAAGATATAAGTTAGCATAGTTTTCTCAAATGTGGTAAGTATGCTCCAGGTACATAACAAGCTTATTAACTACATGGCTAATATTTATTTGCTGTTGACTATATTAAGCTCTTCCATATACAGTATCTTATTCAATCCTAACATCATGCCTATGAGAGAAATATCACAATTACTATCTTTATTTGAAGGTCAGATAGCTCAGTGTGGGCACTTGGCTCCGAGATGCCCATCATTATGTGCACGCATGCCATTTCTCATGGAGAGATGGCATCGAATCCTTCACCTTCTCTCTGCACTGGGGCTGGCCCCACGGACTTGCCTGACCAACAGACTGGGGCACCACTGAAGCTCTGGGGCTGCCTAGATGTCTGAAATGCTCACACTGGAAGGACTGCCCTACAAACAATTGCTCTGGGACATGTCAGAAGCCAGATCAAGTGTCTGGCTACCTTTACTCCACCACACTCAGAGACCCTGAGCCACCTGGAGAATCGTAAAGCAGTGAGAGAGAACGAAACCTGCTTCTGTGGAAAGAAACACGCCCAGAAGCAGCGCCAGATGGTAACTGAAGCAACCATCTTGGAGGTGGATCCTCCAGCAACGGCTGCTTCTGGGATCTATCTGGCAATAGACACTTGCAACTG